GCAAAAAATTGCATTCTTGAAGCTTATCCTTTGGCCTTTATTACTTAATGCTCCAATTATGAACGAATACCTACAAAAGAGATGAAAAAATATTAAATGATACAATATTTACACAAAAATATGATTAAACTCAATATGTACAAATAGACACACAAGTTGAGGTTTATTCAAAGGATTACAACAAAATGAGTCGATAAGTGCCACTAAAATATACATAAATATAACGACTATTTTGCACTTATCATTACCCACAAATTTTACCCTTTCCAATTCCTTCCTAATGAGTTGTATACATTGTATTGAGACAAAACTATGCAACCTTGAATAGAATATAGTGTTATACCGATGCTCAATGTTAACAATACTTTTTTGAAAAGACACCCTTATTGAACCTAGTTGCAGCTTTATAATGGTGTTCGCAGCTCCCAACTTCGGCATAAATCTCCTCGGCTTGTAGTCAACATGTTTTTAAGTCTCCAATGAATAGATTCAACCCTAAAAACAATAAACAAGAATATATGCTAGATCATGTGTATCAATGTACATTTACATTTATGTCAATGATCCTCTCTTGCCCGTTTTGTATGTATCTCTGGCTCTACACACATGGGTAACACTAGTTATGTTTTCAGGATCTTTTTCTTTTAAATAAACAACTATGAACCTTGGACACATGTTGTACTTTGTCATGCCATTCACAAATTGTCGTTTATGATCTTTTAAACGTCCCAATATGTCATGGCCTTCTAAATCCTCAGATAATTTATGGTTATGCATCCCACACATAACCATCTCCGTCCAACCAACACCACTTGGAACAACTCTCAGCCTAAAAGGAAATTTCACTTTCATGCTATAAGCTCTTCCAGATGAGTTTGTGCTTTGACAAACATTATTTCTTTTATAATTTCCTCCTCTCTCGCAACCCATAATCAATTTATCCTTACTTCTTAAGATTCCATTAGCAGAATCAGAATGAACAGTGACAATAATAATACCATGATGTTTCCCAATAGCTCGTGTCCATGCTAACACATTTGGTCGAGTCTTGAATATCTGTCAATTTTGAAATATAAAGGTTAAATTAATAATTTTCTAGAAACGGACAAACATTTTGGAATAAGGTTTGTTAAATAGAATACGTACAACATCGATGATGGAGAACTCAATAATTATATACAAGAATCCGTAGAAGAAGCTGTCGGTTGTGTCGGTTAAGGACCACCCAAGTAGAGAGGTTCATTTTCTGCCATACCGAAAATTACAGTGTTGGCAAAATTTCTGATAAACTGAAAATTTGAAATTTCTGGGATTTTTTGCAATGTACTGAAATTTTAGGGAAAATCCGGTATATTATTCAAAAAATTGGAGATTGGTACTAGCAATTTGAAATTTCTGGTGAATCGCTTCCGGAAATTTCAAAAATCAACAAGATTTTTGGTATTTTGCCTCAGGCGATACTGGAAATTCAAAAATGTGTACGGAAAATTTTATTTTTTCAGAAATTTTTTCAATGAGTTTTTTTTCATAAAAAGTTGTTTTTAGGTTAATAGTAGCGGAGGTAATTTGGCCAATACGAAAATACAGGGAGGTGCCAGGATTAATAGAGGGGGTGGCATGTTAAAATCTCCAACACTAGTAATCGCATGACAATGCGAACCACCAGTTGGAGGAATTAACATCTCACCCCCTAAATTATACATGTCACCCCCCAATTTTTTCATTCAAGAATTACCCTTGTTGAGTTACAAACAAATTTTCGGTAGAGTTATTGAAATTCTCGGTACAAACGTAAATTTTGGTATACCCCAACAAAATTTCTGGTGTATGAAAATTTTCGGTAATGTATTTGAAATTTCCGGTATTCTGGAAATTTCAAATTTACTAGGAAGTACTGGAAATTTGAGTTATACTGAAATTTCTGGTAGATCATGTATTCAAGTTTTTTTAACGGTCGAGATTTTACCGAAATCTTTGGAGGGTTCAGATTGCACCAACAAATTTGTGGGGTCTAGAATGCTTCGCCATTTGTATAAATAGGGTTATATGTTATAGAGAAAAATATCTCAAAAAATGACTCTTCCTCAGTATCTAATTAATACATAAGTGTATTACAACGGATACAACCCTACTGTTGAATTCAAGATTCCATATGGCTCTGTATCCCTTACCACCTTGAAAGAAACGTTGAATGATTTGCTGCTTGATTCCGATAACAGAAGGGTGACAAAGATCGAGTTTCGAGAGGATTGAATTGATACAAATGGAAGAGTGAAATACAACCTGATCAAATTGAAGAATGGTGAAGATGTGAAGGCATGTGGAAATCATTTCACCGTAGGATAACTAAATATCCGATCGAGTTGGATCTGGAGATCTGAAGATCTGTCAATGACATGATCAAGATGCTGAAATATCCAGAATCATCTGATAGTGCCTAGGTTTTCATGTTTAGTTGTTTTTGGTTTATGTTTGTTGTATTGTTTTATGTTATGTTCGTCATCGATTCAAAACATGTAATCGCCAAAATATTATGCAATAAATAAGAAATTTGTGTGTCACAAAATATACATATAATACAACCAAAATAAAACATATCTACATAGGCCCTTCACGGGCTACGTTGGTTAACCTAGCTAAACATATATAAATCTCACCATCAGGGCTTACCAAACCCATGAAGTTATCTAAATAAACTACAATAAACTATAGGTGGTTGTCCTGACCACTTGTGGGAGGTGGCGATGGCGGTGGAGGCTCAGCAGAAACCCTGACACGTGAAGACCCCGAAACATCAGATGTGGTATGACTCGAGGGTGTGACACACTGTAAAACTACTCTAGGTACTCATCCTCACACTATGATGGATGTTGAACCACAATTTTTGTATCTATGATCTCACGGGGAGAGTTGATGGTGTGACTCTAAAACAATTTATCAATGCCATAAGCTCAAGTCTCTGGAACTAGACGATGGAGGCCATGTACATAACCATACTGACATAGACACCTCTTAAGCAAGTGTCTAGCCACATAACTCTCCAATCTAATATGCCTTGAATACAAAGTAGACTCCTCAAATGCACGATGAGGCCAATGAGATGTATATGGTGTCCAGACGAAATCCTCTATGGTCAGTCCATCGAGCTTCCCCATGTACTCTATCACACCTCCTGAATGGGCTTGTTTATCATTCCATCTCCTCGCACATGTAACAGTAGCCAGGACACGCTGGATCTTCTGCTCTCAGATGTGAGGGAAGTGCTCGTATATCCAACACTGCATAAATAAAAACCATCACATAAATACACTCAAATAACTAATAAAAACCATCAAATAAATTAGAGTATACTTGTAAAAGGCTAAGGTAACTAGCAAGCTTCCTGGTATCAGGCTGAGTAGCAACGTCAAATATTATGTACAACATGGTCGACACTGTCACTCCCCAAGTCCAACATGGAGTTTCAAGTGTGCTGAATAGAGACATGTAACAAACATCAATGTAAACTCCAGAATTGTCCGCAAAGAGAGTACATGCCATCAGATGTAGCATGTACGCCATAACGGCAGCCTGGTACCTATGGTCCCCACGAGCCCCACGTACAATTTTCTCAACCAAGACATCTGAAGGTGAAATCTCTGGTTAAAGCCAAACTCCTCTAGCACCTTCACCTCAGATACCTCGAAATCATTCATAACCATGTGCACCGTAGTTGCATGATTAATATGAGGAGGTGTGAAAAACGTACCAACGACCAAAATGTAAAACATGGCGTCGACATCATCCGATGTGGTCGTCATCTCCCTAAATGGAAGATGAAAGGATGGAGTCTCTGGGTGCCACCGCTCAACAAAAACAGACAACAGAGAGACATCTAACATAGTCAAGGAGCACAGGGCAAACTCCAGCAGTTGAAAATCTCTAATACTATTGACCTCCTCAGGCATGGGACTCTCTGAGAAGTTCTTCAACTTCGAACCATGAGAAGCGACCTTCAACATCGGGCGCTCTTGTAAGAAGCAAAATAAAATACATCTTTCAAACACTTGAAAATTATGCAATTAAAGAAAACAAAATATATACTCTTCATGCCATATCCTATAAGTGACATGGTCAACAAATTCTGACAGCACGTACCTGTCTGAAGGTCCTCTTGAAAAGACTCCATCAGTGTGAACTGATGACCCCGTAGACGCACGAGTCGTGGTATCTGTATCAATGGGGGACACCTCGTCAACACGCTTAACAACAGTCTCATCAACTTGCTCTACAATCTCCTCAATTGTCGGCTCCACAATCTGCTCGATTACCAGCTCTACAACGGACACAACCTTCTCAATATACTACTCAACAGTCAGCTCAGGTACTATAAATTTAAAATTTTTGAGAAAATTTTAGACTCTGATAATTTTATCTTTTCATATTTTTTGGAGGAGTATCATGTATAATAATAGACATATGAGATGTTAATTCCTCCATCATTCAACGACCCAAACCGAAACTCAAATTGACACAAGAAATGAAACACTGCATAAATTAACAATCATCATGTAAAAACAGACATTTCCACGACACGATCAACCATGAAACTTAAACCTCATCATTTTCATCTTCATCTTCATCACAACCTTGTCTCCTTTTCATCAAAACCTCACTACAAAAACCATGATATCCTCTACACAATCTCAGAAGCCATCAACACCATCCACAACAACAACAACAACAGCAACAATCTCCATTCTCAAACACCTCCTGATTACTCTCTCAACCCCACCCTCAAACGCATTCTCCCTTCCCTCACTTCTTACCACATCACAAACCTCATCAACCTCAACCCTCTCTCTCTTTCCCCTCACTCCCTCTTCTCTTTCTTCAACTGGCTCGCTTCTCGCCCTCCCTTTCGCCACACTCTCCATAACTATTCCACCATGGCCCACTTTCTCTCTTCCCACAATATGCTTTCACAAACCCATTCCCTTTTCCTTTTCATCATCTCCCGAATGGGTCACCATTCTTCTACTTCCCTCCTCTCTTCCCTTCTCCAAACAAACCCTACCCATCACCTTCATTGTTCTGCTCTTGTCTTTGATGCTTTAATCACTGCTTATACCGATTCTGGATTCATACCAGACGCAATTCAGTGTCTACGTATGCTGAAAAAGAACAACTTTGCAATCCCACTTCGTGGTTGTGAGTATCTTCTTCGTCGAGTTATGAAGCTGAAACAACCGCAGCCTTGTTGGGAGTTTTATTTGGAGGTTTTGGATTATGGGTATCCGCCAAAAGTTTATCTTTTCAACATTTTGATGCATGGGTTTTCGAAAGTTGGTGATGCTATGAATGCTCGGAAGGTGTTTGATGAAATTCCTAAGAGACGTTTGCGTCCTACTGTTGTTAGTTTTAATACTTTGATAAGCGGATACTGTAAAACTGGGAATGTGGAGGAGGGTTTTGTATTGAAAGGTGTTATGGAGAGTGAAAGAATATCGCCTGATGTTTTCACTTACAGTGCTTTGATTAATGGGTTGTGTAAGGAAAGTAGGTTAGATGATGCGAACAATTTGTTTGATGAAATGTGCGAGAGGGGGTTGGTTCCTAATGGTGTAACTTTCACTACTTTGATTGATGGACAGTGTAAAGATGGGAAAATTGATTTGGCATTGAGAAATTTTCAGAAGATGAAGGATCAAGATGTGAGACCTGATTTGATTACTTATAACGCGTTGATCAATGGACTTTGTCGGGTTGGAGATTTCAAGGATGCTAGGAAGCTTTTTAATGAGATGATTGGGAATGATTTCAAGCCTGATAAGATCACTTTCACTACTCTAATGGATGGATGTTGTAAAGATGGAGATATGGAATCGGCGTTGGAGATTAAAGATAGAATGGTTGAGGAAGGGATTAAGCTTGATGATGTTGCTTTTACTGCACTAATATCTGGACTCTGTAGAGACGGAAGAGTTCGCGATGCTGAAAAGTTGTTGAGGGATATGTTGAGTGCTGGTTATAAACCTGATGATCCAACGTATACAATGGTTATTGATTGCTATTGTAAGAAAGGCGATGTAAAGATTGGAGCCAAGTTACTGAAAGAGATGCAGAGAGATGGACGTGTACCCGGAGTTGTTACTTATAATGCGCTAATGAATGGATTTTGCAAACAAGGTCAGATGAAAAATGCTAGAATGTTGCTTGATGCAATGCTTAATTTGGGAGTGGTTCCAAATGATATAACGTTTAATATTTTACTAGATGGTCATTGCAAGCATGGAGGTTCTGTTGATTTTAACATATTTAGCGGTGAGAAAGGACTTGTTTCAGATTATGCTTCATATATAGCACTAGTCAATGAATCAAGTAAAATTTCAAAAGATAGACTAAGGAGCTGATATTCATTGAACTAAGTAGCACCAACATAGCAAATTAGAGGTGGGTGAGTGTGTCCGACATAAGTTAGTGTACAATACTGATTACACTACACTGTAACGTGTAGTTGCATACAATCACTTCAATTATCCTAAATTATAACTAAATATCTACATGCCGGTGTCGCTGTTGTTTGTAGTTTGTAGTGGCAAAAATTATGTATACTTATGAGGTAGGTAGCTATTGCTACTCCAAAACTTAATAATACTAACATTCATTTTTTTATATTATAAATCGCATCTTCCTCTTTGAATGACTTTAAAATTATCAAGGCTTTTAATATTTCCATCAAACCTTTTAAAGCTCCTCAAATAAAATAAGTGTTTTGGCAACTTCTTCGGGATTGGATAGAAAGCAATTGGGGTGGTGTGTACAATCATGCCCTTTCTCCGGCTGGTTGCGGTGGAATTTTTCGAAATAATCATGGAGATTTCATTTTGATTTTTGTTGAACAAGTAACTTATACATCTTCAACTTTTGTTGAGTTTTTTTTTTTCAGTCTTAAGAGCCATGTAAATATTTATGAATAAAAACTGGTGCAAGCTTTCTCCAAACCTTCTTTGTTGTCTTGCCAATTAAGAAACAAGTGGAATATTTGTACATTTTTGGTTGTTGTAAATAGACGCTTTTTTATTTCTCACATCTATAGAGAAGAAACTTTTGTGCATATTTTTATGTGAGTATTATCTTTCTGTTTGAGTTTATTGGGCCTGTTTTAGTTCTAGGTCCATTACTATGTATTAGTTACTTTGGTTGTAGATTATACAAGGCAATAATGTTGGATAACTTTTTACACAACAAGTGGTATCGATGAGGCCAAGATCCAAAGGCTTTGAGTTCAAAAAACTGTAGTTTTTTTTAACAATTATAGTTTTTTTCTCTGATCATCTTCTTCGTCTTCATATCTTCTGTCTTAATGGCGGAATCTTCCACCTTCACCCACCCAACTGTCACTAAAATTGATGGCTATTATGAGCATTGGTCTATGCTGATGGAGAATCTTCTCCGCTCAAAGGAGTATTGGAATTTGATTGAAATGGGCATCACCATGGCTCTTGTTGACGCCACGCCAGAACAATGCAAAACAGTGGATGAGAGCAAATTGTGGGATTTTAAGGCCAAGAATTACCTATTTCAATCGATTGATCAGACAATTCTTAAAACAATTCTGGTTTGTGACAAGGCGAAGGATATTTGGAAGGCGATGCAAAGGAAGTATCAGGTTCCACGAAGGTGAAACGGACGCATCTGCAATCTGTCAATGACTACTTTGCAAGAACCCTAGCTATTGCAAATCGCATGACTGCAAAGGGAGAAAGAATGGAACAGGTTGCGGTGGTAGAGAAAATCCTGAGGTTCATGCCTTCGAAATTCAATTACATGGTGTGCTCCATAGAAGAATCCAATGATGTAACAACTATATCAATTGATGAGCTTCATAGTAGTCTTCTTATTCATCAACAACGAAAGTTGTAACGCCCGTTGATTTAATTAATTATTTAATTAAATTATTTTTGGATTATTTGTTGAAATTGTGAAATATTGAGAGTTGTGGGTATAAGTTGTTAGATTACTATTAATTAATTAATTAATTGACTAATAATAATAATAAATGTTGGAATTATTGGTATTAGTGATTGGGCTAATTTTGATGGTATGTTGTATTAAGGGGGGGTGTGAGAATTAGGCACAATAGACTATTATTATTAAGTTTAGTAATAATAGAAATTAGGTTATTTTGAGAATAAGAATTGGAAGTTGATCGTAGAAGTTACAGGAGAATGAGAAGTTGTAAAGAAGAGGATTAAGGAAAATAGGCAAATCGGAATTCAATCGGAAAAATCGTAGAGCGACCTTCAATCCAAGGTAAGGGTGGAGTTCTGACTCTATAACAGGTTGTTTGATAAACGATACGTGGAATTGAGTTGTATAAACAGAAATATTATCGTTAAATCCTGTTAACTGTGTTGAAAGTGTTGTTGTTAATTTCATGTGTTTGGGTTGTTGTTCGGTGATGAATTGCCTCTGTGCAAATTTGATGTTGTAGTAATTAAAGTGTTGGTATATGAGACTGGTATTAAGAATTTTATGAAAAAATTTACGTAGAAAACAGGTACTGGAAGAAGTGTGCCAAGGGGCACTCGAAAAGTGACGCTCGACAGGGAAAGGGGTGTCGAGCGGCACCCTGTGTGTGTGTGAGCGTGCCGAGTGGCACATGGAGAGAGAGGAAGGATGTGTGCCGAGTGGCACATGGGAGAGAAAAGGAGGTGTGCCGCTAGGCACACCATGATGTGGCGAGGGGGACAAAGGAAAAACAAGGGTCTCAGCAGTACTTCTGTGTAGCAGTTTTTAGTATTAAATTAATAATTTCTTTTATTAATTTTTTCACTAACTTTTAGTAAATTAGTAGCATATTAATTAGAAACTATAGGCTAATTAATTAGTATGATTATAGTATAAACTAATCAATGGAGTTTTGTTAAGTGTTGGAAGTATAGATAATTTTAGTAGCAGAATAATATTAATATGGTAGAGTTGGTATTAAATAGTAGAAACATTAGTGACCAATATATAGATATATATTAATAGTAAAGATAAATTAGTAGCAGGTTTATTAAATTAGCAGAGAAAGGTGTGGGTTTGATAATAGTAGTACAAAGAAGAAAAAATAGTAATTTCAGTGGATAATTATTAAGTCGGTATGGTTGAATTGTCCGAATAATTATACGGAAGAATTGTTGTATATTTTAGTCGATACGAGTATGGAATGTTTGGCTGAAAAATATGAATTTCAGGTGGTAGTGAATTGTTAGGCTTATAGACACTGTTGATTTATGTTGAGTTGTCGTGTTGTTGTGATTGCCACTTTGAATCCTTGTTGATAATGCGAAGTTGCAGGAAAATTTAAATGATGATGAATTACCTCTATTTACTGGTAATAACGGTGATGTGGGCTTATGCCTTGCGATGAATGATTATTATTGCGAGTATGTGGTAGTGCATTCATTGAGTCATATACATTTGCATACTCTGTGATGGCCTGGATTGGTAAACTGCGAAGAAGGCTTATGCCTTGTTGATGTCTTTATTTATTGGCAGATTTTTAAGATGGGAGTTCTGCTCCATTGGTACGACATGCATTTGCATAAAGATGAGTTACATCCTGCATTGCATTTTGAGTCGTGTGCGGTTGATTTGATTATGCTTATGATGTTAAAACTTGAGAAGTGGTGAATATGTATGAACTGATGCTAATGTTTTATTTATCATGCAATCTATTATATTGTTCGATATCTCACCCCTTATGTTTGAATGTTACCCCGATGTTGGTAACGTGTAGGTAACCCATAGTGAAGGCGATATACCTTCAGTAGTTCGAGTCGGTGTCATTGCTCTGATACATAACACTCGGAGGGGTGAACGCTTGTTGTTTTATTGTTGTTTCAATTGTTAAACTTTAAGTTGATTGTTGTTAAGTACTTGTTATTTTGAAGTTTCTTTAACATTGAACAAAGATGTTACTATGATTCCGTTGTGTAGTTGTTCAATCTGTTGGTTTAAAAGATTAATTTATTGTTGCTTCCTCCGAAGTTTTAAAGTGTTATGTATCCATGTTGAATGCAATGGTTTTAAGTTTTAATTGTAGCATCCTGATTTGGTTGTGAATTATGTAAGTTTGATTATTATATTTATCGATTGGGGTAGAATTGGGGTGTTACAAGTTGGTATCAGAGCAAGTCGGTCTGTCTGACCAAGTTGTCGAGTCGTAGTTTTGTTTAACAATTGAGTATTGTTAATTCGATTTCTAACTGTTGTTTATGTTGTAGTGATAAGTTGAGATGACTGGAAGAAATGATGTTGCACTTGCTACTGCTTTAGAGGCAATGGCACGTGCTATGGAGAATCAGTCGAACACTGACGGGAATGCTGGATCTCGTAGTTTGGCGATCTTCTAGAGGGAGAATCCGCCTACCTTCAAGGGTAAGTATGATCTTGATGGAGTATTGGATTGGTTGAAAGAGATTGAGAGGATCTTCCGTGTGATGGACTGCACTCTAGCGCAAAAGGTTCTGTATGGTACTCATATGCTAGTAGTCGAGACTGATGACTGGTGTCTAGAGACTTGTCAGAGGTTGGAAGCTACAGGTGAAAATGTCACTTGGGCTGTGTTCCGTAGGGAATTTCTGAGGAAGTACTTCCCTGAAGATGTTCGTGGTAAGAAGGAAATTGAGTTCCTTGAACTAAAGCAGGGGAGTATGTCGGTTGTTGAGTATACTGCAAAGTATGCTGATTTGGCTAAGTTTTATCCGCACTATAGCAAGGCAAATGCTGAGTTTTTTAAGTGCATTAAGTTTGAGAACACGTTGCGCCTGGAGATCAAGAAGGCGGTTGGATACCAGAAGATTCATGTCTTTGCTGATTTGATTGATAGTTGTAGGATTTATGAAGAGGATAATAATTCTCATTACAAGATTATCAGTGAGAAGAGGGGTAAGCACCAACAGAATTGTGGTAAGCCTTATGATGCCCCAGCTGGTAAAGGTAAATAGAAAGCTGCTCAGGACCAGAGGCCTGGTGGGGGAGATGCTCCTGCTGGTGTAGTTTATTTCAAATATGGAAAACCTGGGCATAAGAGTAATGTGTGTAGTGCTAAGGTGAAGATGTGTTTCCGTTGTGGTAAGAATGGACATGTTGTATCTGAGTGCAAGCATAAGGAGGTAATTTGCTTTAATTATGGTGAAGAAGGACACATTGGTAGTCAGTTCCAGAAACCGAAGAAGGCGCAAACTAGTGGAAAATTATTCGCTTTGGCTGAGAGTCAGACAGTTAATGAGGACAAACTCATAAGAGGTACATGTTTCATTAATAGTACTCCTTTAATTACTATTATTGATACCGATGCTACTCCTTGCTTTATTGATTTTGATTGTGTTGAATGATTGGGTCTTATGTTGTCTTCTAT